TTCAAGCTCTTGTACATCTATTTAACGATTATGTCGAGATTATGAGTCGTGGAAGTTACGTCTCCTTTATGATCCGACTTCTCCGGATTCTTTTAAGAAGAGAATTTCAAAAGAAGATGAAGATGATGCAATTCTTATTGGTAAGTTGTACATACATATGTTTTCAGCCGCTTCCGCTAAACCTTTTCAGTTTCGTGGCACAACATTATATATAGAACATACTCATATAATATACAATTAATAGATCCAAGAGATTAGCAAAATTATTTTAATCCTTTGTGATCACTTCCTGAGAATTTTATGTCGGTCACACAAAGAGCAACACACTTGACAAAATTTTTGAGTTTTAATTCATTGTCGTATTTACTGTTTTTAATTTGTTCTTTAAAATCACAAAAATTACTGAACATACTTTAAAACATTGTAGAACATAGAAATGCAGTGGATTTTAAAGATTTTAATTTTCTTGTAACATATTTAAAAAATTTGCAAGGTGAAAGTTCTTTAAAAAATGCGTTTTTTTATTGAAGAAAATCATAACTTTTTTTAATTTGTAATATTTTTGATAAAAATTTATGGCTATATTTTACAAATATGACTTTTAGAAAAAAAAAAAAATAGTGCAATAGTCCACGTTCCTAAAAAGGTATTTATTCTGAAAAATATAAGAGATCATTTTTGAAAATAACGAAGTGTAAAGTTATTGTATAAAAGAGTATTTATTTAATATAAGAATGTAATTTTTTTAAGTGATATATAAAGCCTCAAACTTTTTTTGGAGTCCCTAATGAGCACGAAGGGTTAAACTGAATAGGATTCTAAAAAAATTCAAAAAACCTAGAAAAAAGAATTTTCTGTTTCCATTAATTTAAAACCATACAAATAGAATTAATATTGATTAATAGTTGTAAGTGAAATATTAAAAATTGTAAAAATTCACGTCTCTGTTACTCATTCCTAGCGTTCATTAAGATCGCACAATAGGTACGTTTCCAGATCATGGGAAGTCACCTCCTTGGCCTAAAATTAAAAGAACCGACGAACGTGCTGACTCAGACGGTGTCATAAAGTCCCATATATATACACGTTGACCTGTGTCTAAAATCTGAGCCCTTACGCAAGTGCATTCAATTTGTGGCATGTGCCTAAAACCGTTAACCACGAGAAGGATTTCAGTTATGACCTTCTGTAGGCCTCCTCCTTACCTTATACTCTCCTTCGAAGTAAAGAATCTTGGAGCTTGACCGTAACAATATAATATAAAATAAATATAATATATAAAACAATTGCTTTTTATATAAATCTAGAATTTTTTAAAATCCATTTTCATCTCTTTTAAAAACATTTATCAGTCAGAGACATCTGTCAGAGACATTTTTTGATTGCGTGTAAAATTTATGTAAAAATTGATTTTAAAATTGACGGTTGTGGAAAGATAAAAAAAAATTTTTTTTTTAATTTTACAATTACAATTGATAAAATTACATTTATGATCTATATTGTGGCAAATGCTTGTACAATGCTGTCAAATAAAAATGAAATATTTAAAGACTACTTTGATTCTTTATCAATAATTAGAATTGTGATTCTTTAACAGCTAGATACAAAAAAATTTTTAATTTACAAAATTATAAAATTCTAGAAATCAAAGCCTTTACACGGTCTAGCTGGATCTTAATGCTTGTATGATTCTTATGTGAATTTATATACTACGTATGTAGTCCCACAGAAACGCGCG